CTTTTTTTCAAAGTCCTCCACATGCACTGGGGTTGGAGGAATGATAACTGCTCCTGCCTTTTATGGAAGGTGGTATAATTCATTTCAACAGAGACACAAATTTCTATATTGCCCCCCCTTTTAATATAACAAATGCTTTAGAGCAATTACTGTATGCTAGGCATGGTTCTAAGTGTTTTCCATAAATTCACTCAATTAATCTTCTCAGCAACCTTAAGAAAAAGGCATTATCTGCATTCCCATTTTACAGACTAGATTACAGAGACACAGAGAGGTTCAGTAACCTGTCCAAGGTCACACAGCTGCTGAACAGAGGGGTTGGGGCTTGAACTGAGACCTTCTGATGCCTGTAGCCTCTTCACAAAACGGAAGGGAACAGTGGACATTGCAAAGCCCAAACTGGTTCTTCTGCAAGGCTTGGGAATGAGGAGAGAGTAGATGGCCATTTCCACGGTAAGAGACAATGATGAGGGTTTGGAAATATGATGGAAGCCTGAGTTTGGTGGAGGGCTGTATAGAAATATTTCCCCTTTCTGTAAATGGGGTCAAAATACTCCAATCTCACTGAATTTTGAAAATTAAAGGCATTAATAACTGTGAAGGGTTCAGAACAGTGCACTTAGGAAAGACACAGTGAACACTGGACCCTTTGCTAACCCAAGCCACACAGACTCCGTACACCCCCACTGCCACACCTTTGCCTGAGCCTGGGCCTCTGCCATCTTCTCAGCCAATCTAGTCTTCCTCCACTATGAAGCCTTCCTGGGATCTCCAGTGTACTCTGAGCCCTTGCAGTCCCATGGACCCAGGTCTTAACCCCAGCTCTGCTCCTCCTCCTATGTGACCTGGAGAAGTGGCTTCCCTCTCTGAGCCGGTTTCCTCTTCTGGAAAATGTGTATAACTCAAAGCACCTCACAGGGCTTTCTGAGCCATTGGCTGAAGTAAAAGGCTGTGGTCTCTCTGGGGTTGGGGTCCCTCTCTGGCATCTCTCTGTGTCCTGGAGAAGCCCCATTCATAATATCGATAGGCTCAGACTGAGGTCAGCACGGTCCAGAGTTGAGCCCCAGATCTACCCCTAACAGGCTGTGTGACATTGGGAAAGTCACTTTGCCTCTCTGGGCCTCAGTTTCCTCACAGTAATTCTTTGTCACAGAGAAGTTATAAAGCTGGCAGTAGCCTCTACATAGTGCCTGAAATAAATAGTTACTGGACATTACCTCTTTCCGGGGCTGCCAGTCAAAATGCCACCTCCTCTGAGAAGTCTTTCCTGATTGCCCAGTTCAAATGACCTCTTAACTTCTTTTGTCAGCACAGTGAGCAATGTGGAAGTTTAGATCAGGCCATTAGTGCCTTTGGAGTCGCTCGTATCTGGCACATGGCCCTGTAAACAGTGGGTATTCTAGAGATGATGAGCTTGATAATGATGATGGAAAAAATGTCATTTGAGACCTCCCAGTTCTCCTTAACTCTTCTTCCAATTTAATTTCAGTGTAACTTGACTCCAGAAGTTTTTTCCAAATCCTCTTTAGGCAGGATGTAGGTATAAACAAATACATAAACCCGGCATCTACTCTGTACCCAGCTTTCTTCCAGGCAAGCCTCTTTTTATATTCTCAGGTGGCATCCTGCCTCTAATGATGAGGTTTTCATTTAGGCAGGGTTTCACGACCTGCAAGATTGCTTGGAACAGCACACAGAGATGAACAGTTTTTACTGTCATAGTTACGTATTTATTTTGACTAGGGATTGTATTTGGCTACATGTATCAGAAAACCCAAATAACAGTGGCTTACCCAAAAAAGGGGTTTCTTTCTCTTTGTTAAGAGACAGCTCCACCATGCTATCAAAACTGAGGTCCTTTTCTAAGACTTTTATTCTAATGGTCATCTGTGGTCACAAAGTGGCTGCTTTTCCTCCAGCACTGCATCTGAATTCCCAGCAGAAAGAGAGGAAAGAACAAAGGGCAAAAGATCTGCAGTAGCTTCTTCTTTTTAAAGAGCTTTCATAGAAGTGCCACCCAATAACATCCACTTACATCTCACTGGCCAGAACAATGGCATAGGGCAGCCCTTACTTACAAAGATGGCTGGAAAGGTGGAGCTTACACTGGGCACGCTGCTCTCCTAAACAAAATCACCTTTTTAATAATAAGAAAGGAGAGAAAAATGGATACTGAGAAGGCAACCACTAATGTGGATCACACACACCAAGTCTATGATTCGCACAAGTTATTACTTAAGCAGCAGTTCTAAGCATGCATCAAAAATCCCCTGGAGGGCTTGTGAAAACACAGGTAGCTGGGCCCACCTTCAGAGTGTCTGACTCAGTAGGTCTGGGGTGGGGCCCAAGAATTTGCATTTCTAATGAGATGTCAGGCGATTCTGAGGCTGCTAGTCTGACAGTACATGTTGAGAACTGCAGACTTGGGGCAAGGCAAAGTCAGTACTCCAGTCAAAGCATGCAAATTGATTTCAAAAGGATAATAATGAGAACATAAGGTTTAGATACATTATCAGGTAGGATCCCAATAGAAACAGAGGAGGGTCCACTCGGATGGGAAGTAAGAAAAGCTGACAAAGCAATGATTTGCAAAATTACGGGCAGGGGTAGACAACCCCCCTCCCAACAGCACATGAGAAGCTATTATTACACTGGATGTGAGGCAAGGGTAAAGCATTCCTGGAAGCTGAAGTTGGGGTCTCTAGTAGAATACCACCCCATAGGAGCCTTATCCTTTGTTGGAGGGATGTAGCCTACCCAAGGCAAGGCAGAGAGAGAGCTGGGGAATAAACAGCCTGGCCTCTTTCTCCACCCACCTCCCACCCACAGCTGGTGCCTCCTCCCACTGGCCAACTCCAGCTGGATGCCACAGGGCTGGATGCAGGGATGCAGCCCACATGGGCCAGTCTACATGGAACACAAAGGAAAAGGGGTGGAAAATAGACCTGGAGAGTAAATGGAAGATGTCCAGCACAGACAGAGAAAATATCACGACATCACAATACACAGGAGCAACTGAGTTTGCAGACCACAATTTAAAGTAAGCAACGTGCCCAGCCCATTCATTTGTTCAATTATTCACTGAGCACCTGCTGGGTACCAGGCACTGTTCCAGGAGCCAAGGATTTAGAGCTGAATTAATCAGGACTCCTGCCCAAAAAGGATGCCATCTACTGGGGTGCCAGGCACTGCAGTGGCAGGGTGGGGTCATCTGCCCGCCTCTCCACCACAGCCCACCCAGCCTGACTCACCGTGCCTTCCACTGATCTCATCTGCTTGTCACCAGCGAGAGTTCCAGTGTGATTTAAGCTTTCATTAAAGTTTAACTACAGGGGAAAGATTGCAAAAAAAAATCACCTGCTCCATCACAAATCACAATGTTATTATGTGTTGAAATAGGGGCAGCGGGAATATGCTGGGGGATTTGGCTGAGATTAGGGACAAAATGAATTTAAACCACTGGGTGCCTGCATGCCCCCCTGGTAATACCCTGTAAACCTTTGTGCATATAGATTTATATCTGGTGAACTGTGGATTATGATTTTTTTTTCCAGGCGGCAAACAAAACCCCAGCCCTCACTGACTCCCATGCTGCCGTTATCAGCCTTACACAAAATGTCTGTCTCTGTGCTCAATAGCCAACAACAAAAATGATGAAGAATCTGATGCAGACGTGGATAATTGCTCTTGCTTCCTCCCGTGAATTTAAATAGCTTTCTTGAACTACTGCCATTGACACGATCAATAAAATTGAGCTATTGCTGTATCAGGCCTTTTGGCAAATACACAGGGAGCTGTGTTCCTGGGGCTGATGGTTCAGCAACCCCAGCTCTCCGGGTGGCAAGGCCAAGAGCATGCGGACAGCTGATGGAGTGAGGACAGGGATGTGCTGGGCTGGCCAGCAGCCAAGCCAGGGAAAGCAGATGAACTTCAATATCCTGCCTCCCAGCTGCCCTCCCTTACCTATATCCCTTTCCCAAAAAATCCAATTAAGCAAAACTTACCTGGCTGGCACCCCATTCCCTCTGCTCTCTAAAAAGGCAGCTGGCCAATAAGAAAACCCAACCGCTGCCCAGGTAGTCACTCAGCCCCCTCCTGGCTTCCAGGAAACACACTTGCATTTTAAATGGGGCTCCTGGACACAATGTCTCCAACAGAGGAAGTGACCCCAATGGTGGCATTTACAACACCTCAAGACAAAGATTAACTCTAGCCATGAGATTTTTAGATAAAGGAAAGATATCGAGAAGGGAGAAAAAGAACATTTTTTAGGTGAAACTCACATAACATAAAAGCAACCATTTTAAGGGGAACAAGTCAGTGGCATTTAGTCCACCCACAGTGTTGTGCGGCCCACCTCTGTCTAGTTCTAGGACATTTCCACGACTCCAACAGGAAATCCCATACCCATTAAGCAGGCACTCCCTGTTCAGTCAGGGAAAACAGAAAGTTCAGCCCAACGCAGATCCTTGGGAAGGATACTGGGTTGAATGGGGTCCCCCCACCCCAAATTCCTGTCCACCCAAAATCTGAGTGGGACCTTATTTGGAAAGAGAGTCTGTGCAGATGGGATCAAGTTAAGATGAGGTCTTACTGGATTAGGGTGGGCCCCAAACCCAGTGACTGGTGAACTTACAAGAAGGCCATGTGAAGGCACAGGGACCCAGGGAGAAAGACACTCAGTGACCCAGCCACAGCCACAACCCAAGGAACACCAAGGATTGCCGGCAGCCGCCAGGAGCCAGGAGAGAGGCAAGGACGGGTCTTCCCCTGGAACCATCAGAGGAAGTGCAAACCTGTCGCCACCTTTGGACTTTTGACCTCCAGAGCAGCGAGAGAGCACATTTCCGTTAGTGGCTCCCCTCGTTCTGGCAGCCTGAGGAAACCAGCGCAGGGAGGGTTTTGAGGGAGGGAAGTACTGTGACAGTTACTACAGTTACTCATCACCTCCCCAGAGTCTTGCAGGCCTCACTCAGGAGGGCAGATTGGCTCAGGGGACCCGAGCAGGCTGAAGGGCTGAGGGGTACTCTGGTAGCCATCCCGAGAGCTGACATTCCCCTCCAGCTGGCCAGGCCTCATGTGAGGGTAAGGTGAGGGGCATGGATGGGTTTTGGCGGTCCCGGCTGGGGAAGAAGTTTGGGCCAGTCCTAGGGTGAGCTGGGAGGCAGGGCTTGGTGGAGAATTCATGATGACAGAGGGCCCTTCGAGGGTCTCCTGGCCCCTAGACTCATCAGCCAGCTACAGAGGGCAGGTGGGAAGCTTTCTGGGAAAGGCACCTTGAAGAGCAGGCCTCACTTTCCCCACAAAATCCATCAGCTACTTCTTTACAACATGGTGGGGCTTGAAGGGCAGGATGCCAAGATGTTCACTAACGAAGTTCTCTAGAGGGATGTTGACGGCCCAGAATTAGACATGACCTGGGGAGACCCTGTGGAGTGGTGACTCCACCTCAAATCTCTCATCCACCTGAGCCACCCAAGAATCAAAGCCTGTCCCCCCAGTGCTCATTACTCCCAGAAAAATGGCCTCCAGACATCCGGTTCCCCTTCTCCCTGGATTTGGGCTCTGGGCAGCCCCATTCTCATAGGAAACTAGCTTTTCCCCAGAGAGCCCAAAGCAGAATGAAGGAAGCGAAGCAAAGGGAGAAATGGTCATCGGCATGCACACCACTGTCCTGCTCATTTCCACCCACAAAATCCGCTCATAAAATCCACCCTGAAGGAATCCAGGGGAGGCTGGATGATGCAGTCGGCATTTTTGAGAAGATGGGTTTGGATTTCCTGTCCACTGTGTTGACGAAGACACTGGGAGAGACATGAACCCTGCCAGATCAAAAGACGCTGCTGGGCCAGGCAGTTCCCAGGTAATGGCAGGTTATTCTTACATCTTTCTCAGCTCTTTTTTACATGGTCACTGGGGTTCTGGGAGGCTGGTTGACAAGCAGGCAGGGGAGGTAACCACGTCCTCGGCCAAGCTCTGCGGAGCACACATGCATAATGCGATCACTCGCCTCATTCCCTTGGAAGCCTCCAAGTGCATAAATGTTGTTGCAAATCTGGTCTCTGACCGGGGGAGAGACCAGCCCCAGCAACGCAGGAGGCCCCAAAGCTCTCCGAAGAATGCCGTTTTGAATTTCTGAAGCCAAACCAAACACTGCCTCAAAAAACGCTTTCTTATTATCTCATTCTCTGACTATGGAACAATCACCCCATTGAAAAGCCATGAGCCCGCCCAAGTTTTAAATTAAACCTCTTGAGTTTTCCCTCTGAGAGCAGATAAAATCCTTCCAGCTTATGTTTTGAGGAAAGAATTTTGGGGGTTGGTATTTCCCTAAAACTCATTTTCTTTTGTTGCAGAGTCCTTAAAGCTCTGTTTAAATATTTTACTTGAGGAAATAATTACATCTGTTGAATGTTGAAATCCCCTTCCAGGAGCAGCTCCTCCATGCTGCCTGGATTCCAGAATGAAGCTCTTTCTGAAGAAGCGGCGAGGCCCCTTTCCAAGAGGTAAGCCCCCCAGAGTGGCCTTGAAGAGCTCTGCTGAGCTGTTATAAGAGAACTGTAGTCCCTAGCCATCTATTTAGTCACTGGGTGTCAACCACAGGCTTTGAAAATCCACTATGTAAAAAAGCTCAAGTTGCATGCTGGAAAGGAAAGAAAGAAGGGAGAGAGGGTTTTGTTCTGTGACTGGGGCCAAAAGAGACTCTCGCACAGGCAGCGGCCTAGCCAGAGGTTCAGTCAAGTTCTGTTTTGGCCCCACACCCTGAGCAGATGGGCAAACGCTGGCCAATCCTTCACCTCTTGGCATCTCAGATGTCTCATTCTAAAAGGAAGGATAACAGGAGCTCCTTTTGTGGAATTCCCATTAGCAAATACATAGGAAGATGTATGCTATTGTTTAGACATTCAACAAACATTTGCTGAATACCTACTTTGTGCCAGATTCTGTTCTGGGCACCAAGAGACAGTGGAGAACAAGACAGGAAATATCCTTGCCCTCATGGAGCTGATGTTCTAGAAGATAGAAAACTCATCTTTTTGAGAGTCTAGGAGTCATTTTTTATATAGTTTCAGAAACTACACAGGGCTTTGTAAGAGGCCTAGTGCATAGTAAATGGTCAGTAACTTTTCTTTTTTGTAAATGAATGGTGACTCAGCAAACACCAGGAGGGAAGGGCCCACCAACAGCATGTGTGTAGGGGGGTGCTGGCGGCAATTCTGGGTCTGGAGGATGAGGCTAGCGTACCTTCTATGTCCTGGTGGTATCAGGGCCCCTGCAAAGGATCCCCAGCCCTGCCAAGACAGCCTGACCACCCCAGCAACAGCAAGCAAAGAAGCCAGTCTCCTTCACATGCAGCCTGACCTTTGTAACCAATGATGAAAACCAAGCTTTAAAGCGGAGGTGCAACCCGGCAATATGGTGGGGGGTGCACCCTGCTGACATGCTCAATTTGATCACTGAGCAACTTTATATATACTGGAGTGTGTGCACAATGCTGACAAATTGGGATATTTCACACATAAATCAAAATGTCTGGCTTCTCTTGAAAAATCAGCCATTTCACCAGGTGGGCAGCATGCCTGTGCAGCCATGCTGGGCTGGGACCTCTGCTGTCCAGGTCACCCCCATCCCTTCCTTCATGTACTCAGCTGGCCCTTGCATTCAATTACTCTTATAAAAGGAGTGAGCAGGAGTTCTGTGAGGATAGAGGCAGTATTTTAAGTGAAAGAAGTTTTCTCCATCCTGGTTGGTGCAGGCATGGGGGGGAATAGAGGGGGCCCAGGTTTGGGAACCAGATATTCAGTGGTTCAAATCCTGGCTTTGCCACTCACTGGCTGCATGAACTTCAGGAGCATCCTAATCTCTCTGAACCTCAGTTCTCATCTTAAAAATATGATGATGTGTCCCACCAAGTTGTTGCAAGGATTCAAAAGGGTTTACCAAAGTAGAAGTTTAGTTTACTATGTAAAATAAAAGGTTTACTATGCACCAGGCATAGTCAGGAACTAGAGCACAAAGAAGGGACTGAAACTCAAAACTTTAGAGAGATCAGACAAGCACTGTCACGAGGTGGAAAAAAGCAGCTCAGGTATGGAGCGACAGGGACTGGTGGGGAGTTGGGGTGAAGTGAACAAAAACACACCTGTCCTATTTAAAGGCCAATTCCAGCCAACTGTCCTCATGCAAGGCCCCAGCGTTACTGAATGTTCTAATATTTTTTTTAACAGAGTCCAAAAATCCAGATTTTTAACGTGAAATCTCCTAACTTTAAAATGATGTCAATTAATTTGTTAAAAATTCTAAAACCCTATGGAAGGACAAGTAAACACATTTGTGCACCACCAGTGGGCAATCTCTGGGTTAGAAACATGGGGTTCCAGCTTTCACTCACTGATTTTGTAGCCTAGGGCAGGAGCTGGGCAGGAGGGAACAATTTCACAATTCTAAATTACCATTTGTGATTGATTCTACAAGGAGGAGGCACTGAGAGATGGGAAGCACATTCCAAGGAGATGGGGAAGCTTCCCTGAGGAAGACAGGTTTCAGCTGAGCCCTGAGAGCTGAGCTCATCGGGTGAAAGGCAGTGGGTCTGAGGCAGGAAAAGGGCAGGCCCGGCAGGAGGAGCACAGGGAAAGCTAGGCAGCGGGACCTCGGTCTGCCCATCTGAAGATCTGAAAGGCATCCAGCAGGGCATGGACACTTCGCCAAAACAGAGGCAGCTGTTGCATCACTCAACCCAAGTGGAAAAGAGGCAGACCTTGTAGAGAACTCTGTGCCAAGCTCAGGAATCACCCACCAGAATGCCAGTGAGTGGAGGGTTAATCGGGCTGTTCCCCCCTCCAGAGACTAACTGGAAATTTGAACGGGGGACTCTCCTCTGGGGCTCCTCCACCACAGGTCTGAGCTCCCAGGCCCTGCCCAACCCACTTTCTCCTGAAGGAGTGATCCTGGAAACACACTACAGATTCCTCTGCAAGTATATGCTCTTTGGGCGAGGCCTGGCACATTCCAGAACAAATGGAGTTAGTAGGCAGGTGGGGCAGCCTCAGCAGGCAGAGGGGGAGGAAGGGCAGCAGGAGCAGATGGGGAGACTGCAGAAGGAGACCCACCTGCAGAGAGGGCCACACTCCTCTCAGCAGGCCTGGGTCCAGCACTGACCTTCACCCTTGACCTCCCCTTTCACCTCAACCTGTTCCAGCTTACCATGGGGCCAGAGAGAGGAGTGATTTGTCCGCAGGAAATTCTTCGTGGTCAAGCCCAAGGTCAGGCTGATCTGCATGTGACACCTCCTTCAGGCCAGCACTGTATTTATGGCATCAAAGGCTCCACCGCAAAGGGAGGTGGGGCCATTGGGAAGCCAAGTTGAGGGGACCTTTGATGTCCCTTTATCTCTCCCAACAACCGTCCTGTAGAAGCCCGCATTTTCTTCTTTCAGATTCTCCACTTAGAATGTTAATGTCCAGGGCTGTGCATACAGTCTGTGGTCAATAAATGCACAACCAAAGGCTGCTTATCTGAAAACGCACAGAATGAGCCTGCTTTCTGAGATCACATACCACAACATTGGAACCTGCATACTCTCAGCCAATCTCTCTCCAAAGACTCCTGGGAAGGAAAAATATTAACATGTTCAACCCTAATCAAATCTGGATAATTTCACTAGAAACCTTTCCATAATTTCATCAGCATTAAAGGATTACAATAGCAACAAATTAAACCAACAGGCATGAATTTAGTTGCTCAAGAGGAAAATGTAGCTTGATTTAGAAACGGATGTTACAGTTTATTAACCAATCTAAATTAATTTGATTTGGAGCCACTGTTAAATATACATTAGGATGTATCACCCAATAGCATAGCTGGCAGGGAAGAGAAGAGAGAGGAAGGACAGCAAGCGGGGCCAACATAAGTATGGCACCTACACAATGGCATGTTAATTCTGTGGTACTGGGCTGCATGTTCAAAACTAGGTAAGAAAATACCAGTCAGGAGTCCATATAACAAGAATTGCAAACTCGATTCAAGCTAGCTCAAAGCCAAAAGGGAGATTTGTTATCTCGGTAGCTGAACTTCCCAGGGCCTGTTTAACATCAAGTACAGCTGGATCCAGGTGCTCAAAGTCAACAGGAATTGGCCTCTCTCTGTTTCTTAGTTGGTTTTCTTCTGTGTAGACTTTACTTTCAAGTAAGGTCCTACCTGGAGGCAGGGTAACACCAGCAGCTCCAGATTTTCTTTCTACTGGCTTAGCCATCTCACAGAAAGAGAACTCACCCCAAACCCCAGGAAAGGAAAGGCTCTCATTGGCCTGGCCAAGGTCATGAACCACTGATTGGCCAGGCTTGGACCCCCTGTTCATCCTCAGGTTGGAGAGGATGATCAGACCCAGGTGCAAGCAGCATGTGGACTAGGAGCAGGAGATGGGTGGTTCCCCCCAAAATGGGCAGTTCTCTAGTACCGAAGATGAAGGAAAGGGCAGCCCAAGGACCAGTGGCCCCTCTAAGAGCCATAGAGGCGAAGAACAAACTCTCTCCTGGAGCCTCCAGAAGGAACCAGCCCTGCTGACACCTTGATTTTAGTCCTATAAGACTCATTTTGGACTTCTGACCTTCAGACTGCAGGAGAATAAACATGTATTGTTTGAAACCACTATGTTTTGGCCATTTGTCACAGCAGCAATAAGAAACTAATACATCTGTATAAGACCATGCATTCCCCTTGGGCATGAGGCAACATACCATGGAGTAGAGGAGCTTTCAAAGAAAATGAAGAGAAAATATCTTTATGTCACAGCAATTTCAGATCTATTATGGTATAGAATACAAAATTTACTTGAATGGCTGCCCTAAAATAAAAGCCATCAAAGAAATCCCAGGCCTGCATGCAGACTGTTTTCAACGGTCTTTGCAGACCAGGGCACCTGCTAGCAAATGCAGGACCCATGGTGCCCTTGATGCATGCTCCTGAGTCTCCTACTGCAGAGCACATGACTGACAGGCCGCTGCTGGGCTCTGAATCCACCCTGTGCCCCACGGTGCTCCCCATCAATAACCAAGCATGGAAGGGAAATAAAGGCAGGCCCGTTCCAGCCAGGGACCTCTCCCCTCAGAGCCATTCCCCCCAACCAACCTCTTGTGCGTCCAGTCTCCCCTTGGCGTCTTCTTGGAGGATCCAAATTGACTCAGCACCACCGTGGGAATTAGAAACATGGAGTCTCTGGGTGGATGCATGACAACAATCAGATGCTTCTTCCAGGATGAGCAGCCAGCAAGCCGAGCATAGGCTGAGATCACCCTGATCACCTCTTCGGTGGCACCTTGGTACAGTATGTGACATAGCCACTGTGCATGGCAGGGCTGCTGCAGAGCCCTGGGCTATGGGGGGATTTTGGAGGGATAACAGCAATCCAGGAAGATCCCACGTTACTACTCAGGGGACCAAGAGAAGCCAGGCACCCACCATGCCAGGCCCTATCCCCTTCCCTACCCACCCACGGGGCTGTGCCCACTATGGGCACTGCATATCCAAGTACATTGTTCTCAGCAAAGACCACTTCGTGACCTACACTGAGTTTTCTAGAACTTTGACTTACTAGCTGGTATCCCTTCCAAATGTGGATTCTAGTTCCTCTTAAAAACTCAGCTGACCTGGTCACACAGGATCTGAGCGTCCACACATGGTGTTGCATACTGACCACACTCTCTGGCCAGGTGCTAAGTATCCAGTGTGCTGCAGTCTCCACCTGGCCCATTCTCCTCCCCTCACCTGCCAGGGTCCTGGAGGACCTCTCACCAACTCTCTGTGCGACCTTGGTCCAGCAACTGCCCCTCTCTGAGTCCTGCCCTCCTGTTCTTGAAACTGAGGGGGAGGGACAGGCTCCTCTCATTTTCAAGGGCCCTCCAGGCTTGATGCTCTGACAGCCTGGGGAAGATGGAGAGGAAGATAAAAAGAAAATAGTTCTGCTTAATTGCCTCATTAAGCCCTCCTTGTTGGAAAGCCAGAATGGGAACAGCTTCTTCTGTTTTATTGCCTGCCTGCACCCTCCCCAGCTGAATTAGGCAGCTGACTGCGGAGGGGGTGGGCTGGGGCTAAGCCATGAGACTGGGGTGAGCCCAGTCCTCAGAAGGGGCAGGGTTCCCCCAACCTCAGGCTTTTAAATTGGCTGCATGAAACAGGACCCTCCAAACAATAGATTAAACAGGAGTGGGATTTCTATTTCCCCCATGACAACACTGCTGTGGTGCTTGCCGAGCACGGGTGCCCAGAACTCTTCTAAGCATGGTGCACAGATTAACACACATTAACCCCATGTCTTGGGTGAATAGTGACCCCAAAAATTCATGTCTACCTGGACCCCATGAATGTGACCTTATTTGAAAAAAGGGTGTTTGCAGGTGAATTGAAGTTAAGATGAGGTCATACAAAGTAGGCGGCCCTTAGCCAATGACCCATGTCCTTACAAGAAGAGGGAAAGTTGGACACAGACACACATAGGGAAGACTGCCATGTGACAATGGAGGCAGAGATGAAAGGGATGCGGCCACAAGCCAAGAACTGCCATCGCCACCAGAGCTCAGAGAGAGGCACAGAACGGGTTCTCCATCAGCCACCCAGAAGAAGCCAACCTTGCCAACACACTGATTTCAAACTTCAAGTCCCTGGAACTGCGAAAGGATGGGTTTCGGTTGTTTTAAGTCATTTCGTCTGCAGTACTTTGTTACGGCAGCCCAGGAAGCATACACCACAGGAGGTAGCCTCTGCTGTCATCCCCATTTTACACAAGGGAAATGGAGGCACAGAGAAAGTAAGTAACTAGTGTGAAGTTGCACAGCCGGCAAGCATTAGAGCGAGGTTTAAACCTGGCCCACTGGACTCCACCTCAAAGACTTTCTGTGAAAGAGACACAAGTGTACAAGTGACCACACGTCTGTGAGCACAGGCATGGCCAGGAACCTCTAAGGGGTCACCCACGGGCTGCAACAGGGTGTGTAGAAGCCTCATTGCTAAGATGCAGGATTTGACCTGTACCCATGCAAAGTGCCTCTAAAGTCATAACAAATGGGCCACGAGAATCAAGTCTCCAGGGCTTGATCATGTCACCCAGCCCAGCCTAGCCCATGACGAATGCAGTGTCAGTGACCAGGCCGGATGAGATTTAGCAGGTTGGAGCCTTTGTTGATGGAATAATCCCCACTTGCCCATTACTGGAAGGAAGCCCCAGCTCCTTCACTGAGAGTAACTTTACAACTTCCTGAGGTCCGTGGCTTGGGCTTTGTCCAGGCTGCCCACACTGCCTTGGCCCCAAAGGGCCAAGGTGATCAACTGGTAGCATAGAAGGGACCAGGGTTTCAGTTTCAGACTGGCAGGGGAAGAATTAAAATGTGGGCTCCTGTGTGGCACCTAGGAAGATTCAGCAAAAAAGAACACCCACTCATGCCCATCTCAGGGTTCTGGGCGCATCTTCCCCATATTTTACCATACATGCACCCCACACTGGCCTGAGTTACTTAACTATTTCCTAAACTGATCTGATTAGTTTTGTTCAAATAAATTTACTAAGAAGAAATGTTCTGCTTACATGTCCACCAAAAGGCATATACAAGAATGTTCATAGCAGCTTTGTTCATGATCACCAAAACCAGGACATAGCTCCCGAATCCACCAGCAGATGGATGATTAAGTGAATTGTGATCTATTCTTGCTACAGAATAGTACACAGCTATGAGAAAGGATGAACCATGGATACACACAATACAAATGAGCAGAAGAAGCTACACACAGAAAAAGCACACTCTGGGTGACCCTGTTTACACCACATTCTAGAACAAAACCAATCTATGTGGATTCAGAGTTGTGGTTACCTCAGCAGGGTGAGTACCACTGATGAGGAAGGGACACAAAGGAGCTTCCTGGGGTCTGGAAATGTTCTGTACCTTCATCTGGTAACAGTTACCTGGGTATGTGCACATGGAAAGTTCACCAAGCTGCACCTTAAGATGACTTCCCTTCATACATGTGTACATACATATACATATGTATATGCATACATGCAACATGTTTATGTATATATATTTCAAAGAAAAGTAGGAAGAAAGGGATGAAGGGAGCAGGAAGGAAGGAAGCTACATAGTTTTTGATCACTGCTATCCTAAGTATTAAATACTATGCAACCGTGGGTTCACAGTTGTCTTGGGGTCACAGCAGCTTCAGTGGGGGTTTGGCTGCTTCCCCTTAGTGTTCTTTGAGGACTGACCTTGTGCTGAGCATAGTTCTAACCTCCTGACGAGCATCTGAGGTTGGCACAGCTTGTCACTCCACTTTACCATGAGGCAACTGCTCTGAGAGCATCAATGATTTGCCCAGGGTGCAATGGAACCCAGCGTGGGCTCCAAGCCTGTAACCTTATGCCTCCACTCCCCAAGTACCATTTCCCTTTCACCTTACAAACCCTTCCAAATACGGCCCTAGTCCTAGCAAAGGACTGCATGGTCAGCAAAGCAGAGCTGCTCTGATGAAACTGCATGGCCATGGCCCCCAGATCCTCACCCAAGCTCCAGGGCAGAAGAGGCAGTGGGAGGGCAACCAGCCAGGACCCCTTCTCAGGGGATAGGCTTCCCACCCCCACAGCACTGTGTTAGAGACTACTCTAATTGTTCCCCAATATCCAACAGCTCCTTCTTCCTTAGTAATAGAAACCCTGACTTTTAGCTGGGCACATGGTTGGCAGGAATAAAGATGACATTTTCCAGGCTCCCTTGCAGGTAGGTGTGGCCAAACCACTCAATGCTAGCCACAAAGATATAAGTGGAAGGGATATGTGCAATGTCTGCAAAGCATCCTTAAAAGGAAAAGGAATCTGCTGGCCTTCCCCCTTTCTGTTGGCTGGAATTCAGATGTGATGGCTGGTGCTGCAGCAGTGCCATTAGACCATAAGATGGAAGCCATGATTCCCCGCTGATCTTGTTTTCCTCTGATAAGTAAATTTCTATTTTGTTTAAACCCCCATTACTGGACTTCTCTGTCAAATGTTTTCCTAATTCATAATGGCAGTAAAGTGTCCAAGCAGTCACATGTTTCCAAAGGTTGTTGGGTATCCTCCAAGTGGCCTTGTTTTGGTTGAGAGGAAGTGATTTTTCTTTAAGGTATCATTGATAGCTTACGAAGGCTTCGGGAAGTAATCTTTCTTGAGAGTGTTCCCAAGGCTTTAGCACTGATCACAGAGGTGGCACCTGGGGTAACAAAGGAACCCTGCCATGCTTGTATTTTCTGAACTCATATATATAAACAATATGATTCAAATCCTTCTAACCTGTCAAGTGTTCCCCACATTGGGGGAAAATATTTTAAACAGCACACTAGACTCTGGCAGTTATTACATCATCCCTATTCCAAATTCATTTTCTCAATATACTGTACAAGCAAACTATTTCAAACATACAAAGGATGTATATATCAGATTGTATATATCCAAGCACTGGGATGAAAATAGATATTAACGGGACTCTCTTGTCCCCTCCTGGCATGAGCCGGGATCTCTGTCCTTTCACTTTATCTCTAAATAAAAGCCTGTACCTTGCTCTCCTACCTTGACTGTTTGTGAAGCTCAT